GTGGGTCTGTCCAAGAACCAGTTGCAATTCACCGTAGCCCAGCGGAGCTCAGTTCAATGTATTTCTCTAAATACAGAAGAAGAAGAAAAAAACCTTCTTAGGAAAGGTTAATATTAATAATAATAATAATAACAACAACAACAACAACAATAATAATAATAATAATAGGAGGAGGAGAAGAAAGAAGAAGAAGAAGAAGAAGAAGAAGAAGAAGAAGAAGAAGAAGAAGAAGAAGAAGAAGAAGAAGAAGAAGAAGAAGAAGAAGAAGAAGAAGAAGAAGAAGAAGAAGAAGAAGAAGAAGAAGAAGAAGAAGAAGAAGAAGAAGAAGAAGAAGAAGAAGAAGAAGAAGAATAATAATAATAATAATAATAATTTTCCAGAGTGCGAGCTTTCCTTGTTGCAGCGGTAAGATTAAAAAAAAATAAAAACGAAGAGGCCCTACATTTTTTTGTGTGTGTTTTTTTCTTTTAAATTTGTCTTTATGGCAGACTTTCCTTGGGAAAATTGAGGTCTTGGCAATTTCTCCTCGGTCTCGGCTGGCTGGCGGAAACTTGCTAATCTTTCCCTCTCTAAACAAACAACGGAGAACAAAACAAAATCTGGCCAAGGGGTTCACTTCCTGCTTCTCAAAAGGACCTCTGGGTTCTAGGTCTGCAACATCAGTCAAACCCCTGGGCTGGCTTTCTGTAACACAGAAGCCATCTGCTCACTCGGGAAAAGAGCTAGCCAAGATCCACATTAACCAAGTTTAAGCATCTGCTGGGTTGTTTTTTTTTAACCTGTCCGGGTTGAGCATCTCGCCTGAGGACTTCCTGAATTTGTAAACTTCTCAGATCTTCTTAGGAAAGGTTAATAATAATAATAATAATAATAATAATAATAATAATAATAATAATAATAATAATAATAACAACAACAACAACAACAACAACAACAATAATAGGAGGAGGAGAAGGAAGAAGAAGAAGAAGAAGAAGAAGAAGAAGAAGAAGAAGAAGAAGAAGAAGAAGAAGAAGAAGAAGAAGAAGAAGAAGAAGAAGAAGAAGAAGAAGAAGAAGAAGAAGAAGAAGAAGAAGAAGAAGAAGTAGTAGTAGTAGTAGTAGTAGTTGTTGGAAGGAATGTTGGAGGTCATCTAGTCCAACCTCTTGCTCAGGCAGGAAACCTTATACTATTTCAGACAAATGGCTGTCCAGTCTCTTCTTAAAAACTTCCAGTGTTGGAGCATTCACCGCTTCTGGAGGCAGGTGGTTCCACTGGTTAATTGTTCTCCCTGTCAGGAAGTTTCTCCTTAGTTCTAAGTTGCTTCTCTCCTTGATCAGTTTCCACCCGTTGCTTCTTGTCCTGTCCTCAGGTGCTTTGGAGAATAGCTTGACTCCCTCTTCTTTTGGGCAGCCCCTGAGATACTGGGACCCTGCTCTCATGTCCCCCCTCGTCCTTCTCTTCGTTAAACTGGACATACCCAATTCCAGCAACCGTTCCTTCTATGTTTTAGTCTCCAGGCCTTGGATCATCTTAGTTGCTCTTCTCTGCACTTTTCCCAAAGTCTCAACATCATTTTTTTGTAACGGGGGGACCAAAACTGGATGCAGGATTCCAGTCGTGGTGTGGAAACCGTGGCACCAAGGGATCTTTGCCTTGCGAAGAAGCGTGGTTGAAAGCCGTGCTTGCCTTCCACAACTTCACTGCCGTGCCCCATTTCTGCTGCCTTGGCACCAGGCTAAGATTCCTTGGCTTCAGATTGTTTTTATTGTGTGTGTGTGTGTGTGTGTGTGTTGTTTTTTTTTCTTCATTTTTTTGGCCAGGGGTATCTCTGGTTCTGGCACCCACGTCGGCTGCATTGCTAGGATTTCAAGCCTTCGTCTGTTTGTGGTTACTGAAATTGTGCCTGGCAGCTCGCTGTAGAAGTGTGTGGTGTATCTCTGGGTTAACCCGTCAAGGGTAGCTGGATTGCCATGGTAGAAGCAGAAATTGTGTTCTCTGGGCCCACTTTAGACCTCTAACTGGAGGGGAATGCCTTCTCTCTCCCCTTTTTTTTTTGCATCCGGCAACTAGAAGACCCAGATCAGGATTAAAAGTTCCGCTCAAGCGTCGGTTTCATATTTACGTTGCTCTTTGATCTGCTAAAATCTCCCTGAATTCTCCCAGCTTTCCCTGTATGGGCAGGTAAAAGAGAAAAAAAGTGCTGCTTCTAAAGGAAATACTAGGGAGAAAAGCCCATTACTCCGTTCCGCGCAGAATCCTGAAGGCCTTTTCAAACAGGGCCAACTAAGGTGCTAGTCCCTAAAGAACTTTGCGTATTCGATGCCTCCTATTCAGGGCTGCGTTCTCTTATCTTTTTTTTTTTTAATTGAATGTCATTTTGTTTGCTCAAAGTTCGGGGATTTTATTTTCAGGGATCTCTCTCTAAGTTGTCCTAAGTTGTCTGAAGTCCTTCCTTCCCTCCTTCCTTCCTTCCTCCCTCCCTCCCTCCTTTTCTGTCCTTCCTCCCTCCCTCTTTTC